ATAAATGTACACATCCGGTTGACGAACTGGCTTAGCACGCTTGGACCTGACCGGGACTGGGCCAGACCCATACCGACTGACCTCGAATACAGTGCCAGACTTGACTAGAACTGCGGCAGGCTCAGTTCCAAGTCGAGCGACTTCAAAGGCAGTGTCGGGGTTCAGGCGGTGGAACGTTTTGGCATCTACGACCACGCGGCCCGAGGTACTGAAGCGGTTCATTGACCAGCCTGAGTGCTCGAGAGCTATGCCTGAGTAGTTACAAAAGTGTACGCCCTATGATGGCAAGTTGATTAGCATGACATGAATTCCCATATTGGCGAAGTGCATGATACATACTGCGTAGTCCTCAAATCGCCTCCCACGCTTGACAAGCTCACTCTTCACACCATCCGGATCAGCATGGTACCCCAGCGGATAAGCGCTCAACTCAGTAATATGGCTCGCGCCTGCAAAGTTCCTAACAGCACGGACACTCTCCATATCACCAAAATCCTCGCCATCGAAATCATGATACGTCAATGTCAACTTCAAATCCGCCATACCATAAGCATAGCTCTGGAGTTTGAAAAGACGCGCTTGGCCGAGGACGGAGGCGTAGATGAGTGTACCAGGGGCAAGGAGTGTCCAGAGATGCTTATACGAGATCATGCCTTGCTCGATAAGGTTGGTTGTCTCTTCCGAGACGTCCTTGAATTCGGAGTCGATCCATCCGAGCAAGAGCTTGGCATGAGCCGCGGCCTCGGAGTCGACTTCGCAGGCTTCGCTGGCTGTCCGAAGGGCTTGGCGATAGTGGAAGAGTACGTGATAGGGAGCGTCGACACTGATTTCCTTAGTGTGGAACGAGATACCCGGATATTCGCCGATGGTGTCTTTCAGAAGGGCCTTGATATGTTCCGAATTGATTTGGAGATACGTCCTCTGAACGTAGAAGTTCGAGTAGTCATATTCGCGGATCAGGCAGAGTGCGAAGTTGTCCCACCAATTGGCTTGCTGCGACTCGTCGATGGTTCTCAAGACTGTCTCGACGTAGTAGTATTGACTGTCTGGGTCTGTCCTCCTGTCGAGACGCTTGAGCTCGTTCCGCACGGGACCTGCGGCGATCTCTTTGTGCTCTTTAGAGAGTTGGTCTGAAACGGTATGTTCAAACCTAGGGGAAGGAGGTTGTGATGGCTGTTCATCGTTGGTGATAGCGGCTTCATCTGTAATCCCGGCCTCACCATCAACGGATGTGGGCAGTGGCGGCACGCGCTCCACTACGAATGATGGGTGCTCCATTGCTGTTGCTGAGGACCACTTCGCGGTGCGGACTGATAGGCCTTGAGACGATCAGCAATGTAGAGGTTGCTGTATATTCCCAAGTTAAAACCAAGTGTAGTAGAATCATTGAAAGGCTCACCCCAATCAGTAGCCCATCACAACTAGGCAGCAATGTGGGTCCTGTAGAACAGCAGCATGTGAAGGTGAGTCGTTTGGTCGTGCAGTCAGCCGCTACCGGTGAACGCTTCATGAGCGCAGCCTTGTCAGCACACATGCTGCATTCGCGTGCAGCCAATGATGTTCGAGCACGACGAAGTACTGCTATATCACGACGCGACCCGTGGCGCACCGCTGCCTGGAAGTTCAGGTCCTTTAAGATGTTTGTGGGTATGCAAAGTTCGCGTAGGCTGCATGCTATGAAGAGACGGAGCCGGCTGTAGTGAAAATGCTTATGTTTCTATTGTTGCTATGCTACAGTATGTGATAGTACCTCGTCGCCGTTCGGTGTCTGCCCCCTTTTATTGCGCCAGTAATTGCAAACATACCACAAAAGTCTTGACCGTGGTCAATCGAGATCCTTGCGCCGACCATACCATATCCGTCATGACGCTAAAGATGCAGTAGCAATAACCAAACGCACATCAACACACTCCCTTGCCGCCTACCACTAGAAGTTAC